TTCGTTTGGCGCAACCTCAGAAAAGGTCCTCACGTGAGTGCAGTGACATATATATATATATATTATAGACACTAGTAGCATAGAACTACATATGCCCTTGTTCCTACATACAAAGCATACAACTTATCTCCAAGATATCATCTAGTGATGGCATGATCAGGTGGTGCGTCTTTCATGATGTATGGTTGGTGGCTCAGATGGGAGTGCAACATGCATGAATTGGAGGATCCGAAAGTAATTGGAACCAGCCCCGGAAGGAAACAAGCAACTGATGTGTGTTGGTTTGATGGTGACGATCGCCATTGATGTGTCGATTGCTGAATCTATGGGTTTATTGGTTTTGAACTAAGGTGGTGAGACACCTGGCGCAAGGACACCAGGGGCCTACACTCCTATGGCCTTCACCCCGACCGGGTACACTCCTGGCAGCTATACGTCCTTCGCCAAGAATTCCAGAAAGCTGCTATGGTTCGTTTCATGCTAAATACATAGTGACTCTCTGATAAAACAATTGCAGGCCGGGTGGCCCTGTCAAAAGGCCCGATGTTCTTTCAAATTTGCAGGTCACCAATCATGTCTTGCCATTCTGGTCAGGGCCAATTCAGGATACGCGCTGGATGCATCTGGCACTAACAAGGCACACTCAGGCCAGTTGTTTGGATACTGTTGAGAAAGGCACTACTATCGTCCTTGTTACTACTAGTAAGGCACTTGTTACTAGTAGCGATGCACTTGTTTCTAATAGCAAACATTGTTACTACTAGTAAGGCATTTGTGCTCATTTGTGTTCGATGTTTGTTCCGGATGCGCTGGTGCATTCCTGGCGATTCGTGTTGAGGTACACCAAGAAAATTCGGAGCACCTGTGGCATCGCCGTCATCCAGACGACGGACGGAATGCCCAAAGAATGACCATGACATGAACACCGTAGCTTCAGTTTGCTTTCGTCAGCCTTGACTTGGCCCAGGACGGAGTCAAAGAAACCTTCGACCAGAATAGATCCCGAGCAGGTTCAGCGCCAACAGCCCACTTCAACACGCGGCACTTCGTTTCTCTTGAAGTTAAGTATTCCTAAACGTCTAGGAACCAAATCATTAGTGCGAGCGCTTCTTCAATGAAGCTCCCCCCCGCCCTCAGGTGGGGGTAGCTTCCTTGAAGAAGCGTGAGCTATCCTGTGTCCAGTTCTAGTAGCTTCCAAGTTTGCTAGGAGCTAACAATTTTTTTTTTCATCTACTTATATAATTAAGTAAGGGCGGGCTAAAAGAAAGAGAAGCTGTCACCATCTGCCCTGGAGGTCCCGAGACCTGTCGGACAGCCAGAGGCCATCAAGGAGGAAGGCGGCAAGGCTCCGGTATTCGCGGGTTTGCGTACGTAAGCAGCCATTTCCGGCTTCCAAAGAGGTTCAATCGATCTAGAGGAACAGAAGCTGGCACACTCACCATTGCCAAGCACTTTCACAGCCATGGCCAAAGTAACATATGCAGGTGTTCAACTTGTGTTCCGATGTCAGATCCGGTATAATATGTACAACCGGCTGGGTTTCCTGGAAGCAAAGTACACATCAACGCTAAACACTGCGTTCAACAGATGCCAGAAACCTAGAGATTTTGCAGCTCTGCCTAACTCTTGCACATGAGTGTCCCTCCCCTCCCTATGCCCCCTCCCAGCACTCTCCCATCCCTCTGTCTCTCTCCTGTCCCTCCCTTGCTTCCTCCCCCTCTCGGTTGGGCTGAATTCTTTGACATGAATTGAACCTGGACCAACTGTGAAACTTACTTTTTGTTCATCGCACCTTTGTAGTTGTTTTCAAGACATGGATGACCATTTGTATGCGTTGAGACTAAACAATTACTGCACATCCGGACCTTTCCTGTTCCTTTCCATTTCTTCAGTCCAGTGACTAGCAGCATGCAGGTCTACGAAACAAATAAGTACCATGTGCCACCAGCGGCGACCGCTGCCGGGGGCCTGAGAGATTGGCCTTAAACGCTGCTGGACCAACAAGAATCTGAGGGCAAAGACAAAGAACGGCAGCAGCTTCGAACCATCCAGATTTGCACACTTTCCTACACAACCCAAACAAGTGGTTGCTCCCTTTTTGCTTGCTTCGCGTTTCAGGTGCGGTGTTTGAAGCCAAGGTGTGCACTATCATTGACAGAGGATCCGCCTCCTGTGAGTTCATTCGCTCCACAGTCAACCAGGCGCCCTGTGAGAAAGTCGCCTGTGAGAAGTTGCTGTAATTCAGTTTCTCGAGTGTGGACTGTTTATGTTGCGGCACACTTTGAGGTGCCAGCTTTTCCCTCCACGGCAAATACCGCTCATGTGCCCATGGCGGCTAGATGCTTACTTGGAAGACAGCTGTCCATTTGGTCACCATGGTCACCACGTCCTGATGAGTCAAAGGAAAGCTTTCTTGCCAAGTGCTCTTGTGGGGTAGAGACATGCAGAACCCAAGCTTATGGCCCATGTCTTGTAAATAGCCTTCTCGCTCTTTGCAAAATTCAGTTGTAAAGCGACAGGAAAGTGATAGAGCTGTGAGGTCATCTGCCAACCGTTTGCAGAGCTTACGGCCCATGAGGCCTGTCCATTCAGATTCATTTGTGTTCCAGTTATGTAAGTCTAGCACATATATAAATTCAGTGCGATGGACAGGCAGAAATCCCTTGCGTTGATTTGGGTGAGCCAGGCACGGCAAAGTACTTCAAATCCATTCTTTAGTGTCGCTCAGCGTCCCACTGCTGCAGGTCCTTTCCGATGCAGTCGTTGCAAAGCCTATGTGAACCCTTGGTTCACTTGGCACAACCATGGCAAAGAGGCCGATGATTGCAAGGTCTGTTTTGCACTCGAAGAGAGAAACATTCTCACAACAAAACAGTTCTTGATTGGTGGACATCACTTCAAAGGCCACCTGCAACTTCTGTAGCCAACGCGTCGAGGCCAAACCCAGACACATGTGGTCTTCTTCGCCAGTAAGTTTTGAATTCGAAAGGAAGAAAGCGCCAGGTCCCTCAAGAATACATGTGTAGCCTTGATGAAAGAGCTCAGAGGAGAGACAAGGCCCGAAGACTGAAGTTCAAACGGCTAGGGAGGAACAATGAAGCTACTAGGAGCAAAGGGCATCGCTACTAGGAGCAAAGGGCATCGCTACTAGGAGCAAGGACGCTACTAGGGGCTCCTGGCCTTACTACTAGGAACAATGAAGGGAGCAGGGGAGTGGAGGACATCGAGTGGTCGAGTGGTCTTCGTGTGCAGGAAGAAAGACCAGAGCTCAATCGTGGCAGCGTTGACTACATCGCGGCCTGGCTAAATGGGCAGGTCTTGGCCGCCATTTCGATCGGTTCGCCGCTTCGCTGTTTTGGGCTGTGGCAAGAAGCTTTTTGTTCAGGCTCCTAGCGACTACTCGGAGGCACCACCCGTGGTGCCTGCAACCATTTTCGTCATAGAAGTGTGCAGAGCTCAGCAAGTGAGTTGTACTGCAGGGTGTAAGCTTCAAGCACTCCAAGCCGTGACATTCCAAGGACTCAACGGTCGTTGCAGTGCGGGCTTTTGCCACAGGCTAACTCCGTGCATTGGAGGGGGACATTTCAGTCAAGTCTTGGACTTCGAGATGAGAAAATAAACAGCTTCTTGTTACCAGTACTAGTTATGATGGCTTCCGGCCTCCGCTTAGCGAACATTTGGACTCTTCACATCCGATCAGGTCATGTGGACTCTGCGATCCCTTCTGGGCTTCATGGAGCCGCCATCTTCCAAGCTTGCCACCCAGTCACAGATGCTGTTGTTCGGGACGATAGACTCCGCAGCTTTTCCAGAAAGACAAGCCAATCTGCAAGGATCGGCATTCTGCTTTTTGACCATGCCCTGCACTTCTTTGCATTCTACCCCGGACTTGTTTGGTTCTCAGAAATCGACAGAAATCTTTCGTGCCGAACTAAGCTTGCTTGCTGCGCAGCCGAGGACTGCGCCCGTCAAATCACTGTGTCAGACACAGAGGACTTTGGCTATTTTGGCTCGTCACAAGCAGTCCACGTCTTCGCCTTGGCTAGAACACTTGCCAGGATCCCTTTGCTCCTTGTGGTGCAGATGCCTTGCTTGTGGATGCAGAGGCAGGAGCAATAGATATCAAAGCTATGCGGATGTCACCGAGTTCGATTTCGGGTGTCTTTGAGTTGAACTCAATTCCATACTTGCAGAAGACAGAGCAAGATTGTGGGTTTCCTGTTTCAACTCAGGATCCAGCGTATCGTAGTCAGCAGCTTGCCTGCATAGTGCCTTTTGCAGCTATCTCCACTGCTGGGACTGGGAATGGAAATAAGGATTGATACTCTTCTGGATGAGCTGCCGGGCATGCTTTGCGCAGAGGACCTTGACACTCGGCTGCATAGGCCATAAGCTGCAGTATGCAGTATGTGCCAGTGGAGGGGTTTGTGGTGCCTAGTGATCCAATCATGAGGCAATTGCGGGTGACTCAGGCTGAACAGGCAGCCGGTTGTGCTGCTCTCAAGGCTGCCACGGAGTTAGTTGGAAGTCGAGGTCCACGACCGAGGTTATATTTGCCCAACACAGATTTCTGGATGCTTCAACCACATTTCTATCCCCTCAAGCGGCTCAGGTGGAGGACATGTTGTCATGTCCAATTCCCAGATGCCCTGATGTTCCTTCCGCACTGCGCTTTGCACTACAAAGTCACGTTGTTTTTGGGCACTATTTCATCAGGTTTCATGCCAGCTTGCCCAACTCCGGCCTTGCACTTATGCGATTGGGTAACTATCCACTTTTGGGCAAGACTGCACAGAATAAAGTGCAACTGTGGTATTCGCCGCTCATCAACAGACAGCCATGCCTCGTTGGACATTTGTCTAGTCTCAGATCACTTGTGTGTGTCAGCTTTTATGCTTCGTGAGTTTTGCTGAGACATGAGGTATTGGAGCTCTTCGCCACAGAGACGACATCAAGTTGCTTGGGTCATAAGTTTTTTTTGAACAGAAACGAATCTAGGAACCAAATGAATTGACTAGAAGCGTGAGCTATCCTGGGTCCTAGCTAGTAGCAGGTTATTTAGTGGTTTGTTTTAAGTAGCCGCCTACTTAATTACGTAAGGGTGAGGGCAACACGGGCCAACATTTGAGAAGGCAAGGCAGCAACAAGCCATTCCTCAAGCTTCCCTAAAAATCTAGGAACCAAATGAATAGTGCGATTGCTTCTTCCTTGAAGAAGCGTGAGCTATCCTGCGTCCATATGTAGTAGCTTGCTTGTATCTACTAGCTACGCTTTGCTTCTACTAGCTACCTACGGCCTACCCCGCCCCCCCCAGGCTTAAAAAAGACATTTGTTTGTTTGTCCAAAGCAGAGTAGCTGCGACCTCCTTCTTGACGCATTCGAGGCTAGCTTCCGAGCCTGAAGGTCGCGACACTTAGCGAGCCACGCAAACTTTGGGGAATCTGTTAGCAACCATCTATCAACACTTTGGCCTTCACCACTTTGGCTGAACAGGTGGAGGTCTTTTCAATGTGGGCTGCTCAATCTTTCTTGCACAGCGTTTGTTCAGCAGTCTCCGTGGCCTGGACTTTGCCCGCGAGGTGCAGCAGCCCACCTTCATCGAGGAAATTGGCAATGATTGCCTGGTTCGCGGGGTTCGGCACATAAGTGCTGTAAAGCAGAAGCTCTGCATCTCTATTGGCGAATGCGAGCCAAGGTTGCAGTCAGCGTGTTTTGCGCTCCTGCCACAGGGATCTACATTGCACTCCTGTCACATTGCTACAAGATGCTGTACGAAGATTGAGAAATGCCAACCCTTGGCCAGGACATGGCTAGTCTGAGTAGAATTCCCAGGACCTTATCCAGAGGATGCTTTGACGATAACAATCCTAAGATGACGAAGCTTGAGCTTCATGTATATATATATATAGATAGATAGATAGAGAAAACAGGCCGTGCTGCGAGGCTGCTAAAGGAACAGGTTGTGGGGTTTGTCATGGTTGACCAGGAGAACAGGTGGAGAAATATGTTTCTACCCTGGATTTGTCCTGGGCTTATGGAGTTCGCAAGTCTACTTGTAAGACTTGCTGCTTGGAATCAAAATCATTCGATCGAGGATCCGAGCCGCGATGGCGAAAGGCTGCATTACGATTTGTCCAGGAACGAACAGCTTTATTGGTCTCACAAATGGCATTGTCGTCGCTTGCATGCGTGCTTCTGGACGTTGCTAATTGAGGACTGTAGTGCAGTCATCTGTGCCAGCGGCTGAGTTTGAAGTGTGTGTGCGTGTCTCTGATGGCTGCATGAGTTGGTAGTGGCAATCTTTTGACATTCCTTGAAGTGTGCTGCTTAGGTACAGCGTCATGTTCAAATTGCGGGTGAGCAAGGGGCTTGCCGTTGACAGTATGCATGCCACCTGGGATCCTGAGGTGTGGCTTGCAACACCTCGATCCGTGCACAAAGACTAGTGACATCAAGCATTGTGCATGCAAGTTGGTTTGTTCATATTTGATGGGAGGTGATTGATCCAAGCACCTTTGCTGTCTCTAGAATGCATCGGGCACAGCTGTCGCAGATGCTGAAGCTTCATTGATTCATTGATCTCGATAGTTTACAGCATAGAAAACTTCTGAGTGTCTATCTTTTTGCCTTCGACGCACTCAGATTGAATCCAGCCTTTGTCAGGTCAGTTGATGCAACAGTGGACTTTACGTTGGTACATGGAGAGAGGCAGGATGCATTTTCATTGTTATGCCCAACTTGCATAGACTTTAATCCTGCATTTTCACAAAGTCTCTCTGATCAGGATAGAAGGCCAGAAGCAGGCTTACATGCAGGCTGGACAAAACACAAAGTCACAGTTTCTGGCACTTGGGTCGCTTGGGCGGCTCCCTTTGATGCAGAATGCTGCATTGCAGATTTTCAGGTTGCTTGCCTTTACACAAGCAAGAAGGGCAAGCGGTTGATTCGCAGATGCCCTAGACAGTCCCGCAGGGTGACACGCGCATCGCGCAACTTTCAATTGAACTATGGATTGACTTGAGTCCCAGGTGTTCACACACTGCAACTTCCTGTGACCTCTTCTTTAAGCAACGTATTCCGATACACGGAGATTGACACTGTCACCAATTTGCTCTTGAAGCAGGCCGGCATCTCTTCATTGCATGTTTGGCTGATTAAAGTCCCAGCTTCTTTTCAATTGAGCATTGCTGAGAGGCTGCAGATTCCGCGCTAAGTGGGAAGCATGGCCGAAGTATTGAGAATAATGCAAAATGAGGTCACTCAAGACAGGGTTTTCCAGTTGTGTGGGTTAGAATCCCATGCACAACTGCTTGCTTATCTCAGTAGTGCACGGTGCTTTGTTTGATGGGAGCCTTTGCTTCCTCTGAGCATCTGGGCAGCCCTTGACCAAGGAATGGCAGTTTCAAAGACAAGCTTACAAAGGCTTGTGTGGTCTCGGGCTGAGAGCAGTTTGCGCTTTGCACCCAATGCCACAAGCTTTCCGTGGTAAGGATATGTTGCATGCCTACCGGGCCAATTGTGCCTCAATGACTTCGGTTTAGCGCCCAGAGGAGGAGCAGGAAAACACCGACAGTGACATTTTTGACAAATTATCCAAGAGTTGCCCAGTGTGGGAAAAGAATCAGGCTGGACAGCTGATCCTACCTGAGTCGCTCAAGCTACTGTCAGATGCTCGATCATCCTTCTTCACGGATATGAGTATATCTCAAGCATGGTCTCCAAGAGGATTCACATTTTTTTGGGGAGCTTAAGTGTCCCCAAAATCTGGAAACCAAATCATTAGTGCGTGAGCTATCCTGCGTCCATATGTAGTAGCGGCTTAACCTAGTAGCCACCTCTCTTCTACTAGCTACCCTACCTCTAGCGGCCTACCCAGCCTTTAAAAAGATCACGACACATTCAGGCCGTTGTACATTGGGTCCATTCGCAAGTTTCCAGCCTTCCGAGCAGGTCGGATATGGTTTGAGTTTGTGAGAAGTCAACAGTCCTTAGAGCATCTTAGAGCACACACTGGTATGGTTGAATGGACCTTTGATGACTTACCTAGTTGCGTGTGCCCGAACAGGTTCTGATATCAAGGTGGATGACCGGCTGCTTGGGCAAAGCATCATGAAAGTACTGGGTCTTGACCGGCACAAGGCTTTTCAGAGAGTCACTATGCACCTCAGGATAGTCTCGCTTATTAGAGTCGTGAGCCCAGTGCAGTGCTACTCTAGATCGGTACAGGATTCCAGGATGTTGTTGGCACAACAATCTATCACAGAAGTTGTGGTTCGAAGCAATCAGCCACTGCTCAGTCTCTGGGCCTGCCACTAGCATTGACATCTCCTTTGGTTTACCCTCGGGCAGAAACCTCAGCAGCATGCCCATCGACTGCAAATCAGAGTACGACGGCCTTCTTCTCAGGTCTACACGATGCACCCGTTGTCTGAGAAAGCTGGAACACCCACCGGAGTTGGGGACAACGTCCAACACCAAGACTTTTGAGTAACAAGTGCATTACTACTATATAGTAGCAAGAAGCTACTAGTAGCGATGCCTTTGCATAGTGCAGAATGGTATCCAAGTGTCAGAAGACCATGCCAAGCGTGAAGGTCTTCATGCCCCCAACGGTGGCCGGATCAAGTGACCTGCTCGGACTCCATTACTTTACGGTTCAACGGTTGCCTCTTTGCCTTGCCGAGAAAGACACATCAAAGGTGAGAAGCTAGCAACAGATCGAATATATTTGATCCTCAGCTGCAAAGATTCACACTGGTTGCAGATGTAGCACGATGCAGTCTACCCTGCAAAGGCTTCCAAGACATTCGTTCTGAGGATTGACAATGGCATCAGCCTCCGGCTCTATGTTCCCATCTGAGTCTCCGGAGTCTGGTCAGTCTGCTTTGATGTCTTTTCGTCGTCGCGAAGGTCAGAGCAAATGTGGACCAAGAGACGCTCTACCAAGTGCCCCTTTGACAGCTCATCATGGCACCAGCTTAAGGGGGCCCTAAGAAAGTGGGTCATCCCCTTTTTTAAAGCCCGCTCCTACTTAATTATGTCGGCGCAAGCTACCAGCTAGTTAAGCTACTACATATGGACGCAGGATAGGTCACGCTTCTTCAAGGAAGCTACCCCCGGCTGAGGGCGGGCGGGAGCTTCCTTGTAGAAACGCTTGCACTAATATTTGGTTTCTAGATTTTTAGGGAAACTTATATGATTTAGACTCAACACGGTTCAACTTACAATCTCTTTACGAGTTCATTTCACAGATTTGCTGAAAGATGTGAAAGACCACCCTTTTCCTGGTCTAAGGTTCGGAGCAGAAAGCCTGCAGGATGTTGCAGTCATCCTCTCTGCACCAGAGGAGCTTTGCACCAATGTGTAGAAATGGCGTGGACAACTAGTCCTGAACATCACAATGGCTCCCCGAAAACGAGTCATGCAGGACTATGTGGAGTCTCTCAGTGAGGAAGCTGAGCGGATGCTGGCTTGTGTGCAACAGATTCGAAGAGAAAGATGGAGGTTAGAGACTTAGCCGTTTTTGGCCTGCCCCCCTTACTACTTAAATATCTAAGTAGAGACTATTATATATATATATATAACTACGTACTTTATTAAGTAAGGGCTAAGTTAGCTTCTAGGTAGGACGCAGGATAGCGCTCGCACTAATCATTTGGTTCCTAGACTTTTGGGGAAACCAATCAGGATGCCGGATGCGGAGCGCCAATTGGATTGTGCGTTGAACACGAGAAACCTGTGGCCAGTTGGGCAAAGCACTTTGGCTTCAGGCTTCCGTGGCAATCATTTTATGTGGTGCTACCTGGTACTCCGGAGGAGTAGAGTCCTCAGAGTCCTCAGCAAGTGAGACCCTTCTTTGAGCCTTTGAGCCTGATAGCGTCCTCTCTGTACGAGCTGCATCCATAGGTCACGCGTTCTTGCATCACTAGCAGAAGATCGTGCCGGCGCAGAGTCCGCTTATGCCGGAAGCTCATCCAACCGGCAATGTGTCCAAGTATGATTTTTGAGGGCAAACAGGAGAGTACATATCACTTGATGTTGAAACAACTCAATGTCATGAGGTCGATTTTCTTTGCCATGTTCATAAACTCGTTCAGAACAAGCAGGACTGACAGACAGGTGCTGCCAACAGTGCTCCGCTCATCCAGCATTTTCGCAAGTGACCCTTTCAAACCCTCCGAAACCTTGCAATGTTTACAAGCCGATGGTCTTTGCACATGACAAGCAGTTCGCGCCGCTTATTTAGTGTCAGTATTGAAGCTTTCTGTGTTTAATTTGAGACTAGCCAAAAGGTGAGGCGGGATAGAGCGTAGCTTGGGCGAGATCCATGTTTTTTGAATCTGCCGAATTTGGGTGCCACAGGGGCAAAAGCGATCTGCCTCAGACCAATAGCCTGGAGCTACTGCCAGACTGGTCACAAAGATGGCATAGCGCAGCCGAATTTTTTGGAGACCCTAGTGGCTATGCACGTGTCACTGCGCATACCGTCAGTTTCTGCCGGCAATGAACATCATGGAAGCGCTTTTCTGATTGGCCTTGATTTGCCAGCAATGCACGGATGCGCTTTTTTGGCTTGGCATGCACATCACCTTGTGCATGCAATGACTGCAGAATAGCAGGGCTTCACTATGCTGAGTCAAGTGAGGCCCATGCACAGCTGATCTGCTGTCATAGAGCTGGAAGTGGAACTTAACAAAAAGATGTGAAGGAAGGGTTTGCATGTCTTGACAGCAGGGTTGATAGCCCCTTGCAGCGCCTTAGCATGTTTGCCAATTTGCAAGCGCCTTCAAAAGTTGGCCGCGAGATGTAGGAGTGTCACGAGGCTCGAAATGCAGCTTGGCTTGCAACTCCTGCGCGGTAATCAGCACGGATTCATGTCTACTCAAGTTTGGGTTGTGTCAGTATTTATTTGCTCCTCCCTTGTTTCCCATATGCACCGCGCACTTGAGAAACCTGCCAGTCATTGCCACAGAGAAAAGAAGTGGGAGCAGCTGAGCTGATGTTGCGGTTACGGCTGCCGTTTGTCTGAAGGTGCAGGATATCAATGACCTTCTGTTGCGCGCGGGATTTTACGTCAAGTATCTAGATTAAAGGGTCTCAGCCATCATCACGAGAGGTATGAAAGGACTACTGAGATGGAATTCCGCGATGCTTCGGAGCTTGTCAACCGGCATGTGGAAGCTTGTTTGCAAGCTGGTTGGACTGATTCTGCTGATCTGCAAGCTGCCACACTCAAGAATCCTCCAGTGCCTGCCAGTCTGAGGTTTGGGTGGCTTTGTTCATTATGGTCTCCCTGCCATGTTGTAAGCAGTGGCCCTTCCACAAAACATGGTGGTTTGTGAAGGCCATGGAAGGAGGGCTTGTCATGTGGCAAGTTAGCCATCTCAGAGAGTTCTTTCGGTGTGATGCTCAGCTTTGAACATTGCGAAGCTATTACTTCACGCTTTTGGTACCGAGGCGAGAGAAGCTGATTCCTTAGGGATGAGCCAAGACAAATATATAGATGCAAAAAGCACTTGGCAAAGCAGAAGCCATGCTTTGGCGCTAAACTATGTTGCTTCGCCTGGTTCGCCTGTGACGTCACCTCGATGGAGCTTCTCGGGCAACTGACCTTTGCTGGGTCACTGCCATCGAGTTTGACAGGTGCTGTCTGGTCCCAGAAATGTGTGGGATTGGCGTATCATTGGGTTACCAGCCCTTGTCAAGCCACCTGCCAGATTCTGAAAAAGCCGAAGCGGGTTGCATTTGTTGCAGATCTTAGAATGAAGTGGAGGGTCAAGCCTGCGTATGCTATGAGCATGATTGAAGTTCAAAAACCTTTGTACTGGATCACAGCTCAGACTCGTCAACAAATCTGCGGCCCATACCCAGACAAAGACGCGAGCTTCAGTTGGTATTGATTTTCTTTTGCAATCAGCCCGCAGTAGAACCGACGTGACACGTTCGGCTGGTCGTATAAAGTGTTCTCAAGCCTTTGTTGCAACTTCCGCAGAAGACAAGGACCATACGGTTTGGCATCCTACCTTGCCAACGAGATACCTTACTATTTAGCAACATTAATTTGCTGAACTGCCAAGCCTCGCCAGCAGCTGCAGCGCCATCATGGCAGATGATGAAGGACTCGCCATCAAAAGCATCATGTGACGCATCGATCTTGATCCAAGTGCCACTGCAAAGGCGCTTTGCTGCTGGGGATCGACCTCAATTCCTTGGATGTCGATTCGCTATTGGGACCGTTGGGAAGGCACAAGCTGGACATGACCTTGCGGACATTTGATATGCTTCTTGTTTCTAATAGCTTCCTTGCTCGTAGTAGTAAGGCACTTGTTACTAGTAGCGATGCACTTGTTACTAGTAGCTTCTTGTTCCAAGATTTTGCAGGGGCTCCAAAGCTGGACTTGGTTTCCGGACACTTGCTTGCATCATACTTTACAGTTGCATGCTGAAGATAGATTGTTTGAGCCCCATTTGACCTTAGGCAAAGACCTCCGCGTGTCGGAGTCGAAGGGACAAGGCCATCTTTTCCAAGCAAATAATTCTTCGTGCATAGTGTGTAAAGAGTCATCCCCGAGGGCAGATGAAGTGATCTCCGCTCAAAAGAAAGCATTGGAGCAGTTTGCATCTCAGCACGCAGGGACTTCCAACAGTTTCAGCGAAACAAGTAATCAGTGTAGCTTCCGAATCTCTTCAGGCCTGCTCCACATCGTGCTCTAAAGGCGAAGGTGCGCTTGCTGTGAATATAGCCCTTAGCCCTTCTCGCTCTTCCCCTCCTGCAGTATGCTCTTGTGCGGCCCAATCAGAGTTGACTAAAAACTAAGGCCGCCAATTGCCTGGCCCACGGACCAGCACTAGTAGGAGGGAAATGCGGAGAGCGCCTTCAATTCACAGCCACAGCCCTAGCCTGGTGTTTGGAATCGTGCAAGGAACGCACAATGCAGACAGATGCGGAAAGTCTCACAAAGGGTTCAGTGGGTGCACCTCAGGTTACAACAATCTCGGAGAATGGTGATGCCCGAGACTCACGACAAGACGAGATGAAGTTTCCAGGGCATGCAGACACTTCGGACAATCGAACAGGTCATGAAAGAGGGAGGTGCATCCGTCACGTGCATGGTGTGCAGACCTCAAAATTGGAGCTGAGAGAAGTCCTTCGTCCGGGAGTCCTTAAGGACTGGTACAAGTCTCATGTCCAAAACCCAGCCTGAGCCGCGTCCTTTTGTGGAAGATATGCAGGCCTGGGTGTACCACATTTGCCAACGGTACTGATTCCCTGATTTTCAAGAAAGCTGCACCTGGCTGCAGGATGGCACTTACAATATTCAATTCGTCTGCGCCACACCCGGCAGCTACGAGATCAATGCATTGGTGGACGGAAACAAACTGCCAATGTGCTCGAAGGCCTAGCTTCCATCGAGCGAAGGAAGAACATATCACACTCACCAGTCGCAACTCAGACAACACAGCAACTGTTGCTAGACGTCCAAAACATCCAAGATTTGCTCTGAAAGGCCTAAGGTTGGGACGTCACTAACGAGTACATTATGAATTATATATATACATTTCTTTTTGTGTGTGTCTAGATCTTACTAGCATAGCTAGCCTAGCAACAAGGCACTTGTTGAAGGTATTTTTCATGTCCCTTGCACTTTCGCGCAATCAAGTTGTGAGGTCCCATCATTGTGCACATTTCGCAGTGTGCTTACTGGGTACAAGCAGATACCATAGCACGGTGGTCAAATGACCAATGCTTTCTCCACTGACCCACAGGCCAGGGCCACCCAGTGCAACTACGACCCAGGCCTTTGAAATGGGACATTCAGACTATTTGATCACGGCGGCCACGACCCAAAGGTCAGAGGCGAAGGTGTACAACGCTGCACACTGGGCGGTTCTGCAGAATTCACCATTCAAGCCCAAGGCTCAGATCAGACACGGAGGTGAGGTGACACCCTGATCTGAACTACACTACTGCAGTAGACCGTGGCTGCCGTGGCTGAGGCTATGGATGAATTTGGGAACCTTTGTGGAGAAGGAGGAGCACGCGCGAAGCTTACATTCCAAATCCTTAAACAGTATCTTTAGGATTTTCAAAAGAGCCACAAACCCATGCATTTTTTGGTTGTAAAGCCATAAAGCAATTGCACCTGAGAAAGGATGACTATTCGTTCAACAAACCACTGGCGAACCTGACCCACTCCACTTGAGAGCATACGCATCACCTTCAAATCATTACCGAGGGACATCAACGCATCATCTGCTCAGCAAACGTAATGAACGTGGCCACATCCCCAACACACCCCACCCCAAGCAAAAACAGCCCCGACGGTTTCGGCCTTGAGAAACAGCCAAGACTGAGGTTTCGGGGTTCGAGCGAGTGCTCATGTGCGGCTACATGAGGTCAGTGACAACGAGGTGCGATTTGTATGATCACATTCAGGATGCTAAACGAATTCCGAGTAAAGAGTGCATTGGCGCCTAAAGATTGGGTCAAATCCAAAAGGGGGCCTGCATCAATTGGCAGGATGGTACCTACACCGTTACATACTCTGTGCCAGACTGGGCTCAAGGCCTCATGAAGCTTGAGGCAGGCTTGTCTTTATTTTTTATTCACTACCTGCCAGGAGAGGGTTGTTAGATTTTATGGGAGCTGTCCCGTCCCGCCTCCTCCAACTCCCGGTCCTCAACCGCCAGTGCTAGATCGCAGTGGGCACCGCCGGGCCCTCAACCGCAAGCGCTAGATCGCAGTGGGCGCCGCCGGACCTCAACTGCCAGCGCTATGCCAGATAGAATGCCTACGTGCCAGATAGATAGAATGTCTTCAAATATTTCAGGTAGAGCGGCAGAATATGTGCTAGATAGATAGATTGCAAACACATGCCAGACTGAACGCCAGGACTTGTATGCAAGACAGACATTGTCTTTGACGGCAGGACAATGTGTCGGAATACGTGTCAGAGCACATACCAGGACCGAAGTCGGACCATATATGTCACAGCGCATGTCAGACTTCACCGCAGGAAAATGTCAGAACCCATGCCAACAAGGACATGAGGACACAGTCCTTTAAATTTATGATAGATGATGCGTCAGAGAACCAGCCAGGCTTGATGCCAGAACAAGCATCAGAACTTTGTGTCAATACGCATGTCCGCCTTTGTCAGGCTAGCCTGTCAATACATGTGCCCTGCCTTCTTCCAAATCGCCTTTCAGGGTGGGGATCACTCCAAATAAATTAGTTGGCTTTTGTGTGTTATGTTGCTTACATTGTATTCTGTTATAGCTTGTTGGGCTGTATCGCAATGTGGTGTATGTGTGTGGCTGGTTATGTTTTGTTTTGCTTGTTTGTCTCTGTTTGTTTGTTTGCCTGTTTGTCTGTCCGTCCGCCTGTTTGTCTTCCTGTCCTCTCCTATCTTGTTTTTTGTTTTGTCAGTTTCGCACTTTGTAGCTGAACCTGTGCATGAGTGCTGTGATGGGAACAAATTCCGAGAACTGTACTTTTGTCCTGACCACACAAAACATTATATATCGAAAAGACTTGACACACTTAGGAACAAATTGGCTTGAACTAGTCCTCAGGTCTTGCTGGACGGGCATCCCATTCGAGGATCCCCACTGACGCCACGCATCATAGGTGGAAACGTTTTGAAGCTGTGGACCTTGGATGAAAGTCATTTCCGACTTCTCGGCAGGTTACGCACCTGAGAAAGTCAATGCAGAGGGCAAGGCGCGGCAAAATCGGCAGCTCTCTTGTCTACATTGTTTCTAGGTCTTCCCCTCTACATCATGATTACTCACAGACTCCAGAGCCGAAACTTGATCCTGTTGACTGTCAGGGGAAAGGCAAAGGACGAATCCAGAAAGGAGCAGGGGGCACTTTCACCGATCAACTCCCGTCGAGACCTGAGATGAACATGACAGAGGTTCTCAAAGCAGTGGTCTTCTATAAATCTGATCTCGTCAATTTACTTTGTCACATTTTATCACGACATTTTGTGCAACCTTGCTAAAACTGATGCTTTGCTAGCCATCTTTGGCTCAGTGTTACCCAGTGCACACCATGACCATCCCATGGTGATCCTTGATGGCTGGGCTCCTTGCATGGTGGCCTGCCACCTATGTGGTCGCGAATTTGGGGCTGCCAGCTCCCCAAGAACTTTGGTTGTCCACGCGAACCTAGGGCATCATTTCATTTCGACATATTTTGTATTCTGACCAAGGCTTCAATCGATCTTCATGTTGAACAATGCCTGAAGAAATGGGAGGACATAGAGAAGCAGAAACCTCGACACAAGCGAAAGCCAGCGCCAGAATGCCCCAGCCTGGCACCAGATATGACGCAGGAAGAGTTCAACGAAGCAGCTCAGTCGCATGGACATCGAGCATTCTATCACCGCGTATCAACTACCCTATAAGGCGCATTGACATGCTTCCAAAATGGATATGTCGGCTAATATCCAATCCAACACTGGAATGGCTTTGCCCTGCGAATGACTTGCATTGAAAACCGTGTGAAGCAGCAATTGCTTGCACAAAGCTCACTTGCCATAGCAACTCACGATTAAAGACACATTAACATATATATATATAATTTAGGCGAATCCAAGACCCTACAAACCCTAGATCTCTGTAGACCCCAACAATCACACGTCAGAAATCCCGGCCGTCAGAAATCCTAAGTTTAAGAGACACCAAGCCGAGTTAAGAGACACCAAGTTGAAGAATTTCAGAAATTCAGAAATTGTTAATTTCCGAATTTCCGCCAAACTATGTAAACAAGTGAAGTTTTTCAGAAATTCGGAAATTGTTAATTTCCGAATTTCCGCCAAACTATACATAAAAGTAAAGTTTTTCAGAAATTCGGAAATTGTTAATTTCCGAATTTCTGCCAAACGATGTAAAAAAGTAAAGTTTTTCAGAAATTCGGAAACTGTTAACTTCCGAATTTCCGCCAAACTATACATAAAAGTAAGGTTTTTCGGAAATTCGGAAATTGTTAATTTCCGAATTTCCGCCAATCGATGTAAAAAAGTAAAGTTTTTCAGAAATTCGGAAATTGTAAATTTCCGAATTTCCACCAAACTATGTAAAGAAGTAAAGTTTTTCAGAAATTCGGAAATTAACACGATATAGCAATTCAGAAATAGTTCATTTCGGAGTTTCCGATAAACGATGTAAGAAGTACAGGTTTTCATACCTTCCGAAATTGCTCATTTCCAATTTTTCGCCAAACCAGACATTGCGCAGGCAGCGTCCGGTTGCCAGCCAGAAGTGGAACGTTTGTACTTGCATTGTAAAATTTGCCATCTAGCCTCTTTTTCTCTCATCTCGGCGCACCCACTGAACGCATGGCACGCCCGCCGAACACATGGCTCTTCAAGTGGAACACCATCAGACCAGCAGATTTGGGGAGTGGCTGGTCGTGCTGGATGATGGGCAGCTTCTCTTTCGCCAGGGCAAGATGCGTTTGTTGGCTCCACCTCCGGCAGCGCCCCCAACAGCGCCAGGACAAGATGACCAGTCGGGTGACCGCGATGGGTGTGTTTATTGGGTCCTTTCGAAGCATTGTTCGAATCAGGGTGCTGTAGGCAAAAGTGGCCTGACTAGCAAGAGCCTTACAGGCATTCCGGCTGTCAGGCAGAATCCAGCTCTTTGCCAGACTCCGTCACGGCAAAGACCCGCCTGCTCTGTGCGGCTGACAGCCAGCCAGCTCGAAGAGCATTGCAACCCGAAGCCAAAAGGTATCCTGCATGGCCACGCGCTCCGGTTTTCACTTTCGAGGCCAAGCAACCAAACAGATCTTGAGCCGCTTGAATCTGTAAGATGTAAGGCTTCTGACTGAGTGTTGAACTTGTCGAGCGCGCTCAGGGCATGGAGCGCGCGCAGGGCAAGTCGATCTTCAGCAGCCTCAGCCTCAAGCGTAGTATCGTCTAGTTTTGTATGGCTGCTGAATCCGGCTGACAGCCAGCTCATGCCGCCCAAATACCAAAAGAAAAGACCTTCGGGCAAAAGCGGCTGGGCAGCGCACAACCAAAAAAGGTCACAACGTAGAAAAACATTGCGCGACGTTGCCCTGCGCCATCATCGCTTTGTGGTTGGGCGCCTGCCGCCGATCAAGCCACTCCTGCGCATCAATGGCAAGCAGTCCGCGCTCATGGCCTGTAGGAAACTGTCCAAGGTGATGGTAGACAGTGAAGCGCAGACCGACGCCAATGGCACTGAGAGTCAGCTGAGCGAGCTGGCCAGTCAGCTGCAGCGCGAGAAGGCAGCCAACGTGGAGCTCTTGCAGCTGCTGCTGAAGGATGAGCCGAGCCATATGTGGTCTGCGTGCTCTCCCGCTGCCAGCGAGATGAGGATGCCACCAGAGCACCAGCAAAGACAATGAATGCTGCGTCGAGTGAAAAAGAAGCTTCATTCGTGCTTCACGCTGTTGAGCCCACTGAGCCACGTCGCGCGCTCCTCTACCGGAGCGCGCTCTTGTGACAGGGTGTGCATTTAAGGAAACCATTGCGCAGTGGAGCGCGCTCTTGTGCGCAATGGTTTTCCATGAGATCGCTGACGGAGTCTATACGTTCCTGCGCGCTTGTGCGCAATGTTTTCTATGCGTCTATGAGATTATACTGACCGGGGCGCGTATCTCTATGAAACCATTGCGCACGTAAGAGCGCGCTCCGCTGCCGGAGCGCGCTCTTGCGCGCAATGATTTCCTTAGAAATGCAGACCCCCGTCATGAATCTCATGGACCTGGAACATTGCGCACAAGAGCATGCTCCGGCAGCGGAGCGCGCTCTTGCAATGGTTTCCTTAGAAGTGGACGCCCCTGTCACAAATCTCATAGAACACCATAGCACACCAGCGCGCTCCCGGAGCGCGCCCTTGTGCGCAATGGTTTTCTGAGAAACGTACACCCCACTCAGCGATCTCATAGAGAACCATTGTTGCGCGCAAGAGAACGCACACCCCGTCATGAATCGCATAGAACACCATTGCAGACACCTGTCATGAATCTCACAGAACACCATTGCACAAGAGCGCGCTCCGCTGCCGGAGCGCGCTTTTGTGCGCTATGGTGTTCTATGATGAGATTCATGACAGGGGTGTCCACTTCTAAAGAATGCACACAAGAGCGCCGCCTTGCGCGCAATGCTTTTGTTAGTAACACGCGCCCCGGTCAGCAAACGATAGAAAACCATTGCGCACAAGAGCGCGCTCCGGCAGCGGAGCGCGCTCTTGTGCGCAATGGTTTTCTATCAATACGCAAGCCCCAGTCAGCAAGCTCATACAAAAAAACGCTCAAGAGTCAGCGACGTGACTCACTGATTCACATTACATGTTTGCTTCCCATGATTTTTTGGCTCTCAGTGTGGCTGCCAGCCACGAGCAGCTCGTTGAACAAGGACCGATCATTCCGGGGGCTGACGGAATGTCAGGTGAAGACGACCTGCTTGCCATGGAAGCCGTTGTCCGAGCTGTTGAGCGCGCGCAAGCAGTGCCAAGCCACAGGCGCTCAGCTGCGTTCTTGCAGTTGACCAGGATGGCCAAAGCAGCAAAGAAGCAAGGCCAGACGCGAGAAAAGGCTTCCGAAAGGATTTCGCGCTTGATCTTGCGGCACAATGCCGAGTTCGCAAAGACTGACAGTGATGTCATAGATTTAGCAGCCAAGGGGTACAAGTCTAACGGCAAGGGAAAGCACAATGGTTGCCTGGGGCTTTGCAGCGGGCCTGTTGGGGGCACAGGCAGAACAAACTGCAGGTTTCCAAACGTATGTGAAAGAAGTGTCCGGCTGCCAGCCAGAAGCGCAAGAGAAGCGTTGTTGCCCAGCCAACTGTGTCTAGTTGCAGAGAATGGGCTCGTCATTTGAAGGCTAGCGCCACACACGTCGGCCGTGTCCAGCGCGCTGTCAGCGAGAGATCAGTGCCCCCATTCAGGCCAGATGGCTGCGCAGCCCTTCACATGGCTTGCGGCGCAGCCTCACAGCCAGGGACGCGCGTGGAGCAACCCCCCTGTTGAGAGCTGCAGGCAGCAACCAGGCACCTGTTTGCGACAACAAGAAGGAACGCCTTCGATATGGCCAACGCTGCTGTCCGCGACATCCTGCAAGATTATGGCGCAAGGGCAACCGGCTCAACAGGACCTTCCAGCCGCGCTGCTTTCCCAAACCGCAGCCGTGACTCCGTACAGGACAGGCCTGGAGGCGCGAGCGACAGTCGACGGCAGCGGGCTGCAGCTTGGCCCAAGCGTTGAAGCCAGCCAGCGCAGCTGTTGCGGCTGCTTTGCTCGGAGCTTTTTTCGGCTGTCAGCCGTTTTGAATGCACTGACTTGTGCTTGGAGTGAAAAAGCTGCTGTTGCGTTCCAGTGTGGCAGTGTGGGGACAGGGCCGGGGGCTTGTCCGAATTTCCGCCAATCATAGGTTAAGAAGCACCGACTTTCCGCAAAACCTATGATTTTGTAGGTCGAATTTCCGCCAAATCTATGATTTTATAGGTTAACAAGCACCCCGCGCCGCTTAACTCAGTTTTAGCAGCGCCCCGCGCCGCTTAACTGAGCTTTAGCAGCACCCCGCGCCGCTTAACTGAGTTTTAGCAGCACCCCGACTTTCCGCCTTTCCGCCGAACCGACTTTCCGCCTTTCCGCCGAACCGACTTTCCGCCGACTTTCCGCTTTCCGACTTTCCACCGAACCTGAAACGATATCATCCAATTAAACCGTTTTCTGCTGCGGCAGGCTCCAGATCGGAGAAAAACTAGGAAATCTAGCTTGGTTGTGCGGCTGGCAGCCAGTGATATGGGTTCGCCAGCAGACGCGGTATGCCTCCCAGAGCTGCTTGGCTTACTCAGCCCGCCATAGGCGTTGTTCGGTAGCATAGCGCGCCATGCCGCCCAAGAAAAGGCCAGCAGCGTCCTGCGCTCAAAGCAAACGCGCGAGGAAAAGGGAATAGGAGGTTTGTAAAGGCAACTTGGTCAACCTTGCATTAGTTTATGAAAGGGAGGAAGCCTTGCTGCGCAGAGGCATCTGGGACTGTTCATTCCAGAAGTCGCTGCGGAGCAGGGCCGAAGACTTGAGAAAATACGCTGGGCTGATGGAGGAGGTGGCAAAGCTGGAGCAAGCCAGCCGCAATGTCCAGGTTCCTGAAGAGCATGCAGCAAACACAAGATCGCTCCTGGCCAATCACTGTGAGCCAGGCGATCACTGCATTTTTGGAGCATCGTCGGCGCGCAGAGGCAACTCCCGAGATGTATCGGCAGCAGGCTGCGACGCTGTGTCTTCTCTCCTCGACGGCCTTGCTGAGGGGCTGGCCGGCTGTCAGCGCGAGGCCTTCGCAGAAAAAGTCAAGACGTTGCGGGAGCTCAAACACGTGACCATGCAGGTGTGCGCCTTGTCTGACACTCCTGTCTTTGCGCGGTCTTGGGTGGAGCTTGCGTGCGGTCCGCTCCTGAAGTGTGCGAAGCTTTGCGCAAGGAACCATTCCCCGAAGAGCACCTGTCTGAAGAATTGCTCAGGAACGCAGAGGCCTTGACCGAGGCAGAGGACTCCCGTGTGAAGTTGGATGCGGCGCTTCCACCTACGGCTGACAGCCAGCGACAAATCGTTTCTTTCTTGTCGGCTGTAACCGCAGCCCTCGGGGGATGGAAACAGGCATTCAACGCACGGAAGGAGAAGGCCGAATTAGAGTTCGAGCAAGCAGCGGACAGTTTGAGGAGCAAGGTCAACGCGACTTTCGAAGCCATGGCTTTCAAAGGCCACCCCAGGGAACGAAGTGAAGATGGCCTTGAAAAAGCTTGCCAAGGCTGAAGCAGCTTTGTCGTCGGTGAGTAGCAAGAGCTTGAAGCTGCGCGCGACCACAGACTTGAAAGAGCAAGCGAAGGTGCACATAGTACATAGTTGCGTGGGGCGCGCTAAGGCTAACGCTGTTTTTGGATCCAGCCATCAAGCAAGCTAGGGAGATTCCTTGCGCCGCGCTTTGTCTGATATGTGGGCACAGCGTGGCGAGAACGAAGGCTTGCTTTCTGCCCTTGGGGAGGATGTGGCGAAAGACATCGTAGAAACCATGGAGCTTAAAGGGAGGGGAGGACAGCTCGCAGCCGAAGAAGAGGGCCAAGCGCGCAAATCCGGGAAAGCAGTGATGTCGAACAATTGAGAGCTCTGCGCGGCTGCCAGCCAGACCAATTTTGATCGGCAGACATTTTGCAGTTGCGGCTGTCAGCCAGAAAGTTTGCCTCGTGTTTGGCGATTCACCCAGGCCCATGCCCATGCGCCCATGACAGGGAGCCGACGGAAGGAAAATGCAGCTTTACAGCCATGTAAACTGCCACCCATGGGCTATGCTATAGGCTATAGGCTAGCAGTGTGTCCCAGCGTATTCCACCAAAGCGTTCAGACAGATTCTCATTTATAAGATAGAGACCAGTCGTAGTTGGAGATTTGAGCGGCCAGTCCGCTGAACGCCAGTATCAGCAACCGGACTGTTAACTCTGTCAGTGAGCCATGCGAAGTGTGTCTTTCTAAGAGGAGATGACCTTAAAGGGGCGGTGGGGAAGCCTACCAAGCAGATCGAACTTCCGCCAAGCTATGCAAAAAAGAAAACTGTAGAGAAGTAAAAGTTTCCAGAAATTCAGAAATCAGACATTTTCAGGAAGTTTTCAGAAGTTTTCACCAAATAAATCCGACATTGTTCACAAAGCGTCCGGCTGCCAGCCAGAAGTGGAAAGTTTACACTTGCGTTGCAAAATTCGCCATGTAGCCCCGTTTTGGCTCTCATCTCGGCGCACCAAAGCAAAAACATAGCCCAGGCTACCCACATGCTGCTTTTCAAATGGAAACACCATCAGAACAGCAGATTCGGGGAGTGGCTGGTCGTGCTGGATGATGGGCGGCTACTCTTTCGGCGCATCACGCGCGGCAACAATGTTGCTTGGGACGGCCAGGGCCGCTTTGAGCGGCTGGACGGACCTGGCCGTTTTTTTCGCCTCCTTGGCTTTCGTTGTTGCGCTGGCGCCAGGGTTTGGAACCTCCTCTTCATGCCTGACCCTGTGCGATCTGTCTTTGGTGAAAGTGTCTGGACTGACCAAGAGCGCCATCGGTCTGCTTGGCTCTTTGGCACAGCATCTATTCCAGAGCTGACCTTTGACAACTCGGAGCAGCAGATTGCTATGGCGCCAGGCCAGAAAGCGCGTGCTTTGAGGGCGCGTTTGTTGGCTCCACCTCCGGCAGCGCCCCCAACAGCGCCAGGACAAGATGATGATGATGATGATGATGATGATGACGATGGGTATGTTTGGGTGTAGGCCGAGGGTTTACGCTATTGGAATCGGCCATTGCCTCGAAGCCCCTGCAATGCATCTTCTAGGGCCAGTTTACAAGCTGATGCTTTCGAAGCGCGTTGTTTGATTGGAATCAGGGCGCTTTGGGCAAAAGTGGCCTGAGTAGCAAGAGCGTTACGGGCTTTCCGGCTGTCAGCCAGGTTCCAGCTGTTAGCCAGATTCCGTCGCGGCAAAGGCCAAGGCGCTCTGTGCGGCTGACAGCCAGCCAGGGCGAAGAGAACTGCGACCCGAAGGGAAAAGGTATCCTGCGTGGGCACCCGGGCTCTTTGCTGTCTCCAGCCCGTGCGTGCTTCACCATAGTGCGCTTTTGGGGCTAAGCGCCCAAACATAGTGAGCCGCTTGAATCTGTGAGGGTTCTGACTGAATGTTGAACTTGTTGAACGCGCTCCGGGCATGCAGCGCGCGCGGGGCAAGTCAATCTTCAGCAGCCTCAGCCTCAAGCATAGTATCATCTAGATTTGTATGGCGGCTTCTTCTAACCGGCTGACAGCCAGCTCAATTTCCGCCAATGATGTTAAAACAAGTAAAGTTCGTTCTATTTTCATAAATGTCCGAATTTCCGCCAAACGATGTAAAAAAGTAAAGTTTTCAGAAATTCAGAAATTGTTAATTTCCGAATTTCCGCCAAATGATGTAAAAAAGTAAAGTTTTTCAGACATTCAGAAAATTGTTAATTTCCGACTTTCCGCCAAACTATACATAAAGTTGAAGTTTTTCAGTAATTCAGAAATTGTTAATTTCCGAATTTTCGCCAAACTATGTTAAAAAGAGTTTTTTTTCAGAAATTCAGAAATTGTTAATTTCCGAATTTCCGCCAAATGATGTAAAAAAGTAAAGTTTTTCAGAAATTCGGAAATTGTTAATTTCCGACTTTCCGCCAAGCTATACATAAAAGTATAGTTTTTCAGTAATTCAGAAATTGTTAATTTCCGAATTTCCGCCAAATGATGTGAAAAAGTAAAATTTGTCAGAAATTCAGAAATTGTTAATTTCCGAATTTCCGCCAAAAGTAAGATTTTTCAGAAACCCGAATTACCGACTTTCCGAATTTCCGCCAAAACGAATTTCCGACAAGCCTTGAAACCCTCTTACAGACTGTAGGTCTTGGATTCACCTAATATATAATTACAATTGATTACAGGTATATTACAGTATATAGATATGATATATGTATATATATATATGTTGTTTCTTCGTCATTCCTCATAGTTGTCTCCATTGCACTGAGCTGTGTATCTCTGGCTCCAAGGCAGTCAGAGCTCGATTTGTGCAATCTGGCCCTAGCCTGGAGCCTCGACTTCTACCTTCTGTGTGCCCCTTAGAACATAATGTTCGATTGGAATTTGCATCACACAATCAGATGGGCTTAGATGGGCACGATTTGAGTCGTTCTGGTCCTTCCTGGGCAAGATGTCAAAGTTGCGGCCGTTTGGTTCCACCAGAGAATCTACAAGAGCACCTGGATGTGTGTGGATCAGAGATCGGGTCATCTCCTCGCTCAGCACCAAAGCCTAAGACAATTACCTGCCACATTTGTGGGGGTGAGTTTGGAAGCAAGTCTGTGGATGCTGCCTTAGTCGGCCTGGGTCAAGTGAATCCTTGTTGTCTTCGATGGGCGGTGCACGCATTTCTCCTCTTTCTAAGAAGTAGTTTCTGGGTAGGCTTTCTGAGTAGTGGTGAATTACCTGCGTAGAATGCCGAAAATTTGGTTGCCTTCACACATTATTATGACTATTCTTCTTCTGACCTTCCTACTGGCATTTCATTCCTTGAGCCCTCAAGCTGCTGTACATTCTATTCATGCTCTGTTTCAAGTCAGCCTTTCACGGTGATTTGCTGTAACTTTGATACTATCCCACTGTAGTGCCACATTGTGGAGGCCTCAATTTGCTTGCTTTGTTGCTGCTATTTTGACTCAAGATTCCAACCATGTATCCCCACACATGGCTCAAACATGAATCTTCTTACACACGCTCTAGACCATGAAACCTGCTCATGCATGTTGCCAACACATGCAGTCAGTAACCATGAGGTTTGCTACTAGAATACGTTGCCCGAGACAACCAACTGCGGACTGTAGTTATAAGGCTTGCTTGCTTCCTTGCTTGCTTGCTTGCTTGCTTGCTTTGCCTTGCTTTGCCTTGCCTTGCCTTGCCTTGCCTTGCCTTGCGCTGCCTTGCCTTGCCTTGCCTTGCCCTGCCCTGTCAGCGAGCTTGCTTGCTTGCTTGTTTGCTTGGTTGCTTGGTTGCTTGGTTGGTTGGTTGCTTGGCTGCTTGGTTGCTTGGTTGGTTGCTTGGTTGGTTGCTTGGTTGGTTGCTTGTTTGGGTGCTTGTTTGGTTGCTTGGTTGGTTGCTTGGTTGGTTACTTGGTTGGTTGGTTGGTTGGTTGTTGGTTGGTTGGTTGCTTGGTTGCTTGCTTGCTTGCTTGCTTGCTTGCTGAACACCTTTCCACTGTTTTTGTTGGGCAAAGCGAGCACCTTATTGTTCGGTTCGAGCCTGTAGGATGTGAGGCTTCTCAACATCCCAAGCAACAAGCCAGATGATTCCTTTAAGCTGTGGAGTAGTGGAGCCCAGAAGAAGAAGAAAAAGAAGAAGGAGAAGAAGAAGGAGAAGGAGAAGGAGAAGGAGAAGGAGAAGAAGAAGAAGGAGAAGAAGGAGAAAGAGTTTGCATGTTAATCATCTCAAAGTGCATTTAGTAAGGATGTTGTCTTATGTGTTCCTTTTGATTTGGGACGAGGTGTTCATTGGGGCACCATAATTTTTTCATATCCGATTTTTTTGAACGTCAATGATTCCCACAGACTCCGAAAATGATCTGCCTTGTCACACTTGCCATAACTTATACCAGAGAGCACGCAACAAGGAAGATCACGCTTCTTTATCGTTCGAAGCTTCAAATTGGAATTTACAATTCAATTCGTGAGTTCGGAACCGTGGCTTCAACCGGTTTTGACTCTTTTTGTGCACGTTTTGTTTAATAGCCCTGCTGTTGTGTATTTCTACCCTCGAGTACACCCACGTAATGGAAGGGCTGTGAGGGGCGAGACACGGATCGTAAGTTGGCTGTGAACAACAAGAAAGACACTTCTCAACTTCATATATTATGGGCATCCCTGCGCCACAGTCGGTTGTTTATTGATACGTTTGGTATTGTCATTATCTGACTCATTGCTGTTTGTTTGCTTCCGTGTTTGTCCTGGTGTGTTATCAAGTTTTAGATTATATACATGTCTTGTGGTTATGTCTCCCATCGCCGTGTGCTGTATTTTTCGTCCTTGTGTACTGTCAGGTCGGTGTATAATGCGTGTCAATATTTGATGTATGAAGGCATGTCGAACCACGGGGAACACTGGGTTGGGCCAGGCCGGCCACCGACTCTCGCGGAACTGGGTTTTTGCCATTGTGTGTTGGCAGATAGTAACAAGGACGCTATTGGGTGGACGCTATTACTGTAGGTTGGAGGCCATCGCTACTAGTAACAAGAAGCTACTAGTGGCACGGGGAATCTGTGTCTTTGTCATTGCACTGTGACTCGCTGCAGCAATGGGATAGGGCGGGTTGTCTCGGTACAATCTAACTCCCTCAACGCCATCGGATGGAGAACCTTTTGTGGAGTTGCATTGATTCTTCTAAACTGTCTAAACTGACTGACGTCGATAGCTCGAGTAGTATTTTTGAATTTTGTTTGTATATCACAGAAGAATGAGCTCCCCGAATCAGAAATCAACAGCCAGACTTGGGACAAACAGTTTTTGCCAGGGATTGATTGAATCAGCAAACACTACAACTTTAAGGATTCTTGCAAAGCAGAGTTGCGAAAACAGGTACAGTAATTACATCTTACGCTACATGTGGCAATAAACGCTCACGCAGCTGATATTCTGAGAAGACAAGCGATGCTTGTAATGCTTGGTTGTGATGCCTGGGGTGTGATGGTCGCCTACGTGGGTAGCTCATGAGCGCTGAGGAGCTGCACAGGCAACGTTGCGCCGAGCTGTGGAAAGCTCGTGGGGTAATGGAAGGCCGGATTGCGAGTCCAGAGGAGTGGGTTGCCGTGAAAACAGTTTGGACCAAAATTGCAGAGCAAATAAGAATCTTTAGCCCTTAATCCATTTTAATCCAGTGGTTTCCGTTTTGTGCTTTGAGTAAATCGGGAGGTTTTCTCGAGCCATCAATGCAATGCCACTATTGAACAGGACAGGGTGAGAAAGACTGCCAGCTTTAAAGAGATGTGTCCTGAGACTACGCGAGTGCGCTCATCAAGTCCCAAAGCTACAAGGCCATTGACAACTGCTTGTAGCTTGTGCAAGAAGGAGTTCAGCTTCGCGTCGATTGAGATTCACACGCGGCAGCGTGCCAAGCTTTATCAGAGACGGCAAGGTCCAGGGAGTCCAAGATCCAAGAGCTGCGGATCTCGCCATGTAAAATGGGCTTCTCAAAGCATGCGCAGTCTGAGTGCTGATGAGAAGATACGTAGTCCTAGAACTGAAGACTGTCGGTTTTGTGGGAAGAAATTCTTGACCACATCCCTGCACATGCATGAACGGAGATGTCTTATGAAAGGCAACGCTGATACTCGCAAGAAAGGGAGGCCATCAGAGCCACCAAGGCAACGAAGTCGTGAGAAGAAGCCACAAAGCTCAATTGATATCAGATCCACAACGTGTGACATTTGTGGCGGGCTATTTAGTAACAGCTCCATCGGCATTCACCAAAGGCAATGTGCAAAACTGTTGGCCGCTCGACAGGCCAAATCACCGCCTTTTGAACGAGATATCCTTGAAGGAGATACGGCTGAAAATATCGACAAAAAGGTCAGTGAACCTCCAGAGATGGTAGTGTGCCACATTTGTGGTGGATTTTTTGGAAAGGCGTCAATTGGCATTCATGTGCCCCAGTGCCGGAGAAAGTGGGAGGAATGCGAACAACACAAGCCACCGGAAGAGAGGAGAGAACCGCCGAAAGATCCTCCAGACTTGGCACAGGTCAGTCTTGGCGAATACAATGCCGCTGCCGCAGCAATTTATAAGGAGGGACGATTGGTTATGTGTTCCAGGTGCGGAGGACAGTTTCAAGAGGACCAAGCTGAGAGTCACCGGCAAAAATGCGAAGCTGATCACACAGAGGCTCTCGTGGCCGCGAAGCCAATCTTGGTGGTTTGTCACATTTGTGGGCGGGAATTTGGCACTTCATCAATTGTTCCTACCTCAGATGGAGTTCGATTTCTTTCAGTTGCCGTTATCGAGTTTGGATGTGCCTGCAAAGTGTGCAAGCCTTAGGCAAAGCATTTGCCAAGCTGCTCGAAGAAATGGGAAGACAGAGAGAGCAAGCAGCCAGCTGACCAGCAACGTCCGATCCCACAGGCACCAATGCGAACAGCTGACATGTCACAGGACTGACCCAGGGGCTGATTGTTTGGATTGTTTTTGATTTTCCTGATCAGTATTTTTGTTTTTGAGACAAAAAGGCAGGCATGGAGCTTGTGACCCATGGTACTCCATGGATGACCCAAGCCAACATGCAGATTTTGGCAGCAACCATCGGGTGCGTCATCTAGCCTGCATGTCCCTGCGACCGTGACGAATAGATGTGCACATGAACAATTGCTGCGTTGGAGAATGTTTTCGGTTAGGTGGTTAGGCTATTCCTCATCAAACAGGAGGACTTCAACAAAGCTGCTCTTGAAGTCTTCAGTGATGCCTGTCTGAAAAGCTGCCAATATTGTGGCCGGAAATTTGAAGAAGACAACCTTGGAGAACATTTGCGAATTTGTGAGCAGTTCGCCGAGCAGCCCAGCCAACCTGCTGTCGCTTCATCCCCAACTTCGCCTTTCAGAATTAAAAAGCACCCCTACTTTGACCAGATGTGCCACATTTGCGGGAAACTATATGGAAAAGCTTCTATCGAAATTCACATTCAACAATGTACTCTGAAGTGGGTTACTTGTCTCAAGAATGTTTTACCTTTTGATATGCTTTAATGTAAAGACTCAATAATGCTTTTACAAGCTGTTTTCAGTGGCATGAACCAAGGAGAATCGCCAAGCACGGAAGCCTATAGACAAGAGACGTGATGTTCCGCAACGACCAGATGGAACACAGGATACAAGTTGTTCAGAGTTGCCCCATCCTCTTCCTTACTGCATTCGTGTTTCACTAGCCCATTAGACTTGAAGCTACTAGTAACAAGTGCATTACTAGAGAAGCAAGAAACTACTAGCAACAAGTGCACTACTAGTAGTAGCAAGATGCTACTAGTAACAAGTGCATTGCTACAAGTAACAAGTGCATTACTAGTAGTAGCAAGAAGCTACTAGCAACAATGCAATATTAGTAGTAGCAAGAAGTTACTAATAACAAGTGCATCGCTACTAGTAACAAGTGCATTACTAGTTTTATCAAGAAAATACAAGTAACAAGTGCAATACTAGTGGTAGCAAGAAGCTACTAGTAACAAGTGCATTACTAGTAGTAGCAAGAAGCTACAAGCAACAAGTGCATCGCTACTAGTAACAAGTGCATTACTAGTAGTAGCAAGAAGCTACTAGTAACAAGTGCATTGCTACTAGTAACAAGTAGATTATTTCTACTAGCAAGAAGCTACTATAGTCACAAGTGCATCGCTACTAGTAACAAGTTCATTACTAGTAGTAGCAAGAAGCTAGCAATAATTGCATCGCTACTAGTAACAGTTGCATTACTACCGTAGAAGGACAAAAAATTCAATCCCTTTCAACCGCTTGGACCCCGTCTGCCAGAGTGTTTCGGCGAATGGACGAAACAAATCAAACCCTGGTAACACAGATTCAATGAAGTCGTGTCAACGTAACAGAACAGTAGCCGCCGTCCACACCCAGTACCGTAGATGGACACAATTTTTCAATCCCTTCAAGCCGCTTGGACCCCTTCCGCCCCAAAACTCAAAGTTAGCGAGCCTGCCAGAGTGTTTTGGCGAATGGACGAAACAAATCAAACCCTGGCAACGCAAATTCAACGAAGTCGTGTTCAACGTTGACCTTTCGGGGTCGGGGGTTGGTGACAGTGTCCGAGTGAGGGGTCTAATCTTTTGTGTCCATCTACTGTAGTCGTCGTCCACCTCCTCGTCATCCTAGTTGTTAGTGTTAGTGTTAGTGTTAGTGTTAGTGTTAGTGTTAGTGTTAGTAGTAGTAGTAGTAGTAGCAGGAGTAGTGGGAGTAGTAGTAGTAGTAATAATAGTAGTAGTAATAGTAGTAGTAGTAGTAGTAGCAGCAAGAAACCATTAGTAACAAGTTCATCGCTACAAGTAACAAGTGCATTACTAATAGTAGCAAAAAGCTACTCGTAACAACTGCATCGCTCCTAGCAACAAGTGCATTACTAGTAGTAGCAAGAAACGAGTTGTAACAAGTGCATCGCTACCAGCAACAAGTGCACTACTAGGAGTAGCAAGAAACTACTAGCAGTAAGTGCATCGCTACCAGCAACAAGTGCATTACTGCATTACTATTGATAGCTTCCAACAAGAAACCATTAAATCATTAGTAAGAAGTGCATCGCTACTAGTAACAAGTGCAGTACTAGTAGTAGCAAGAAGCTACTAGTAACAAGTGCACCGCTACTAGTAACAAGTGTTTTCTTAGTCGTAGCAAGCAACTACTATTAACAAATGCAACGCTATTAGTAACAAGTGCATTACTAGTAGCAGCAAGAAACTACTAGTAACAAGTGCATGGCTGCTAGTAACAAGTGCATTTGCTAAGAGTAGCAAGAAGCTAGTAACAGTTTCATCGCTACTAGTACCCAGTGCATTACTAGTAGTGGCAAGAAGCTACTAGTAACGCGTGCCTTACTAGTAGTAGCAAGAAACTACTAGTAACGCTACTAGAAACAAGTGCACTACTAGTTTTAGTAGTAGCAAGAAGCTACGAGTAACAAGTTCATTACTCGTAGTTGTTTCTTGTTATCTAGTTGCTGAACTTTGGCAGGACATATCGCCGCCTGTGCATGATTCAGATTCAGATGATCCGAGCGCGGCTCTGCTGCTCATCAAGTGTTTGATTCTGATTTGCAAATTAGTTTGGTTTGCTGGACAGAGGATAGTGGAAGACGGACAAAATGATTTACTTGGACTACTGTCTTATCCTCTTTTTGAAGGATACCTTTTGATCCACCTTTTTGTTGTGTGTTGCGTTGTACCTTTTCAAGCAACAACACGTTGGAAGCGCTTGCCAACGAAAGTGGTGTTCAGACCCTTCAGGAAGTGTGGCTCATCCTGCAAATCTAACGATTTCCACACGCATGCTTGCCACACTTCAGGCGCCGTAGTGCGGCAGTATTTTGCAAGCTTGGCATTTGCAACGTTTTGAATAAACGTTTTGCCACACATGTGTTGAGGTGATGAACACGAAGCCAAAGCGCCTGACGACAAAGAAGACAACTGAAGTATTTGTCCCGCATGTTTGATGTCTTACGTGAGCAACAAGTGGTTCGCACAGCATCTGCTCATTTTCTGTTGCATGCAATTCTTCCATTTTTGTGACATCCTTGGTGGCAAGGTCTTTGAGATGGCTACGAGAGAATCCACCTTTGTCTGTACCAGCCACAACCTCAGTTGCAAAAACCTTCCTTGCACATCCATTTGCAAGCGAGGATCTGCCACCTCCAGATGTGACGACAGTGGCATTGACTGGAGGTAGGATCTTTGATTTGTCAAACATGTCCAAACTAAATTTGCAGCAATTTGATTCAACTTGTAAGGCTCTCGAGATCGCACAGATCCATCAGAGGCTGAGGGTCAGTCAAGGCTTTTGATCGACTTGAGACATCTCGAGGTTATTCTCCCGGCCTCTGGAGATGTCGTTTCTCTTAACCAATCACTTTTGGATCCCTTGCCGCAGCAACGCTTTTTTGGTCGTCACGGACTCCTCTGGAACTAAGAACTCGGTCTCTTAAGTTTCCCAAAAGATCTAGAAACCAAATCATTAGCGCGGGCTATCCTGCGTCCTGTCGGTAGTAGATGCTTGTTAGCTACTAGCTACCCCTACCTCACCTCTACGGCCTACCCCCCCGGGCTAAACAAAAAAAAGAGAAAAATACAAAAACACATCTTGGTCCCGGTCTTGGTCTCGGTCTTCGCTTAGTTCAGGCCTCCTCTCGCCTTGCTTGGTCTGCCGCTGATGAGTGGCGGCGACTTGCCGAAGTCCGAAGTGAGCTGGAGAGGCAGGACATAAGGATCAGATCTTTTTCCGGTTAGGTTGTCAGAATCTTCAAGGGATTCCAAAGGTGCAGTGCATGCAATTGGATGAATGCCCATGGCAGGTGCCGTGATCAGCTGGCTGAACACCAGGCACTTGGAACTTGCTTGTACATCGCACAAGGACCTTGTTTGGGTATACCTGGCAGGCAGTGCTGCTGCACGTGGGTGATGCCATTCACTCAGAAGTTGACCGTCTGCAGGAGCTTTGCAAGCAATATCTCATCGTCTTTGGCTATAGACTCTATAGACAATACTTTGAGTTGGAGCTTCATTCACTCTACAAGCCTTTGATTCTTGCCAAACGGAGTGAAGCAACAGCCAGTCCAGGACTGGGAGAGGAGTATTCGAGTGCGGGAAGATGAACTAGGCGAATCTACTTTCACGCCCTCACGAGCTTCTTCCACACCTCATGAATGAGTACCAGGTGATGTCGAAAAGCAGCTGGAAGGCAGGTACAATTGCTTTTTCTATTTGTGCGATTCAGAATTTGGTAAGGGGTCGCATACTTCTTGTTCAACCAAGGTCATAATAACGGGGCAGAACTAATTGAAACTGAAGCAAGACACAGTGCCGGGATAAATCTTGCGTATTGCAAGAAATCTGGAGAACAGGAACTTCCTTCTTCGTGGCGCGGTGCTTTTTTCTCATTTCTGTGGTGCGTAGATTCCGAGAACGATCATGAAAGGCGAGTGCTTTTGTCCCAGAGATGCTTTTGCTGTCAGGAATGCGGTCTGAGATACAGAAGCAATATTTGACGCGTAGCTGGCGATCTTGACACTCGTAAGCCTTTGCAAGCTGGAGCACTTTTTCATAAACGTTCTTGGAGCGAATCGACCTGTTGTGCACCTGACTCAGAAATATGCCAGGCAAAAGCGGCTTTTGGAAACCATGGTGGGCAAGGACTTACACTTTATGCCAATGCAACAACTCCAGCAGACGAGAATTGAATTGATGAGAGCTGTGACTCATTATTCACAAGTGCCCTTCAAACACAGGATGAAGTTGCCAAGGCGCCAGCTGCAGGAACGTCCTTGACTTGACATTCAACATTCAAGCGAGCTGCTGACAAAGTCGTTGTTGACCGCTCAACAAGCTTGGAAGCAATCACGGTACCAAACCGAAACACATATTCACAAATTTTGGTATATAACTACGAGATGCTCTCCCGTGCGAAGCAACACATCTCAGATAGGTTGTTGATGGTTTTTGAACACCAGACAAGAGAATCAGGACCTCTATGGTGCCCCTCAAAGCCCAAGTTGCTCTTAAACATCAATTCAAGGAAGGCAATCTCACTTGCAAGTCAAGTGGTTGGGGCACTGTCTCTTTGGAGCGCAGACAATTCATTGGAACTAAGGCTCAAGGGGGCATCTCGCCATGACCTTTGCTTGTCTCCTGAAGCAGACAGGGCGGTTTCTTGTTGCTATATACGTAACAAACTACTTTGATGCTTTGTTGGATATCAAGGTCCAGTCAGAGCATCAAGCCCAAGCAAAGCTGTGGCCGGGATCCATGGCACCACGATACTGCAAAGCATAGCGTTGAGTTTGGCAAGTCGTCGTCAAGCTCACCAATTTCGGAGAACTGCATAGGCTGGAGACACTGGCACCACAGGCGAAGGCAGCGAAAGATTGATGTTTGATTTTGAATGGCCGTGCAAAGGAATAGTTGGATACATAAAAGGGCAACATGCATGCAGCATGCATGTAATTCTACCACAATCTAGCCTCCTCCAACCTACTCCAACTGCAGCGACGAGTTCTATAGGTTCACGAGGCTGAAACCCAAGATTGAACATCCGTAAGCACTTTCCTTCTAGTCACATAGCTTGCTCGGAGGGAGTCAGACATTGGAAGCTTGATTCTGCCCTTTCCCATGTCAAGTAGCTCTCCTTTTCACAAACACACACTTATAGAAGTGCGTACTGACTTGAAAGCGGTTGCCACACGCCAACCTGGGTTCCCAAATCCTGAAAGGATCAAGAAAAACCGTATGGAGCCTGGGGGGTCTTTACAAGGAAAAGGGGCCAAAGGCTCAAGTCGAAATCGAACCGACAGATGACGGCGTGGGGTGCACATCTGCAGAACTCACCAGCACTTTACCGGAAAAGTGGAGTAAAAGCTTGTAAACGCCACAGCCAAGCAGGTACGTCGGAGTGATCAGCTCCGATATCCTCTCAACTCATGAGCAGCTTCGTTGGCAGTAGACTCATGAGTGGGCTACTGCCCCCTGCTAAAAGAACATCAAGAAGCAAAGCAGTCCAATCGGAACCTCGTGACTCCAGAGGGGACACACACACACACGCCTCCCCGAGGGGAGGCGTTCTTTTCTATTAAGCTCCGGACGAGAGTCAAGTTGAGTAAAAGTTGAGCCTACGAGAATCGGTAAATCTCAAGCCATGTACATGAAGAATCTCCCGATGAAGAACTGCTTGAGCAACCATAGGGATGCCCTCCGTCGGTGCCAATCCAGCAGGAGAAGGTGACATGGCGGGTGGAGCGGGGATTGGTGGAGGAGGAATCATCACTCCAAGGTCCCGACAGGTTCCAATGAACCTTGAACAAGCTTTGGTCGCTGCGACCACGTTGCGGCGTGCCCGAAGGCTGCCTACTGCTGACCGCTGCGGTCACCTCATGGCGTGCCCGAAGGCTGCCTACTTGTACTCAATAATTCAAGCAAGTCTTGGCAAATAACTTTGGCCTAAGCCTACTTTGTCCGCTGCGGACTACTCTGGTCCCGGACGCAGGGCGAAGACAAACGCCCGTTCGACGGGTCCACAGGGGCCACTCTGCGGAGTCACCCTGGGCTCTCACGAGGAGAGACACACTTATAGAAGTGCGTACTGACTTGAAAGCGGTTGCCACACGCCAACCTGGGTTCCCAAATCCTGAAAGGATCAAGAAAAGCCCTATGGAGCTTGGGGGGTCTTTAAAGGGAAAAGGGGCCAAAGGCTCAAGTCGAAGTCGAGCCGACAGATGACGGCGTGGCGTGCGCATCTGCAGAACTCACCAGCACTTTACCGGAAAAGTGGAGTACAAACCTGAAAGCGCCACAGCCAAGCAGGTATGTCGAAGTGATTAGCTCCGATATCCCCCCAACTCATGAGCAGCTTCGTTGGCAGTAGACTCATGAGTGGGCTACTGCCCCCTGCTAAAAGAACATCAAGAAGCAAAGCAGTCCAATCGGAACCTCGTGACTCCAGAGGGGACACACACACAGCCACACTTGCTTTTGCTTGACGCAGACGGTCAAGCTGTATCTTCACACCGGCCTGACAAGGAGGAGTGACAGTGAAATGGAAGTTACAACTTAGCACTTTCAACCTTCAACCTGTAAAGAGGACTCCTTTCACGGTTCGCAAACAAAGAGATACACAAGTTTTTGACCAGGAGAAGAGTTCTGCCAAAGGCACACCTCTCAAAAATGGGAACTCTCAGGCGAGAACGCTTGGTGGCACCTTATAATGAGCTGGTTTTGTGGGAAGAACCCACTGCAGGCAAGTGCAGAAGAAGAGCTGATTGCTTTGCAGAGGGGCATTGAGCAGAAGAAATTCACAACCTACAGTTTCTCCTTTACCAGCGCAAGTGACATACTCTTGCACCCCCAGACAAAGACAAACACTGATTCTAGGCGCCAACTTCGGGTGTTGGAAGAGGACTGCAACAGACTGCAAGCAATGTGTGCAGTGTCACCATAGTTTGTAGTACCTCGGTTCCTTAAGGAAGCTGGAAATGCAGCCAGGCCGCTGTTTGTTTGAAGCTGAGAGAGACATTCACATCACGTCCTTCAATCAACATGAAATCAATGAAGTCTGAAAGACTGGATATGAATGTCTACACAGGACATGTATGGTTCTGAGGTGTCAACCAGCGGTGGAGGGTTGAGAGGCACTTCTCCAAGAGAAAAGCCGCTACACCCCATGTTGGAGGCACTCACATCAGTGACTGACAATATTATTGATTGACTTATTAGTCACGGCTATGTGCCGGTATGCTAAGTATGGTTTTGGAAAACGATATGGGCCCCACAAAAAAATGATAGCAACATCAAATGGTGTTTGGCTACACAAGTAATTTTGTCCACTGACATGATGAAGTCTTCACACATCGCATGGTGGAATGACTGTCACAAGTTATCTCGTCCCCATTATCTGCGATTGTAAACATTACGAAATCAGCCGCAATGGCGTTCTAACCGTAGATACTGTACACGTTCTTGGGCACCTTGTGGAGATTTGATGATGCTGGTGATGCAAGTCATCATTGGTGATCGAGTGTATTGGAAAGACCGACTGACGCACGGACGGACTCACGGACGGACGGACGGACGGACGGACGGATGGATGGATGGATAGATGTATATAGGCGCCATATGGAACCACGGGATCATGATGGCTGGCATGATCTGGACATTATGGTTTGGGAT